CCACATTTTTAAATATTAAACACTATTCTAAATGCTGGAGGCAAAACGGGGTTTGGGGGTGGAGGTGGACAGCTCGTGACCCCGCCACGTAATAACCTCACAACCCCTGGAGGGGACATGACCCCTGGTTTGAGAACCACTGTCTAGTTCATACGTCATGTTGTCTGGGCCTCAGTTTCCCCATTTGCAAAATGATGGGGACATATGGAGCATTTGGCAATTGGTGACTGTAGTTAACAATGTGGTGGCTTACCTCTACCGGTGAGGGCATTTAACCATCAAACCAAACTCCACAGGGCAGTGGTGGATTCTCCATCCCTGGATGTCTACAGATCAAGACTGGATGCCTTCTTGGAAGTTATTCTTTAGTCCAACATATGTCTGGCTCAATACAGGGGTAACTGGGTGAAACTCTGTGGTGGTGAGATCAGACTAAATGATCTTATTATAGTTTGTTCTGGTCTTAAAATCTATGAAGCAGCTAGTTGGTGGATCATGTTGAGATAAATTTATTCTGGTTGTTTCTTAGTGCCCCGACTAAGTGCAGTGAAGTGATCTGTGATTGAAAAGAGGCCGTGTGGCCTAGTGGATAAATACTGAACCGGGATTAAAGAAACCAGAGTTCTGTTTCTGGTTCTGCCTCTGGCCTGCTGGGTGAACCTGGGCAAATTATGGCACCTCCCCATGCCTCAGTTTCCCTGTCTGTACAATGGGGATAATGGTGCATCCCTCCTTTGTAAAGTGCTTTCAAATCTTCTGTTGCAAAATGCTAGATAAGAGCTAGGGATTCCCAATCAAAGTTCGCAAGTGCTAAAATAACTTGGGATCGGAGGGTTTGATCCCTGGGCATATGCTTCCCCTTCTAGTTTTGGAACTTAACTACAGCCTTGCACCTCTTACACAGGCAGTCAGGAATTGATTTCATGTCATGTGTTTACTAGATTTTTTCCAGTCCCTTTAATGGGGACACCTGGGAGACCGTATACTGGGTAACAGGGACAGCTGGAAAATGCCTTTCCATTGCTTTTCCGACTTGGAGTTAAAAGTGCGGGTGCTGTTGATTCACGTGGCTGTCATTTCCAAAAAGAGCCCCACTGACTTTTGGTCCTTGGATTTGGGGAATGGCTATCTGTGGGGACCCCTGGGGCTGAGCAGCTGCTGCTCCCCCGAGAGTTGAGTGACCAGCCTGCTTGAAAACCAGGCCCAACGTGTCCTAACCTGGGCACCCAAAATGAGAAGCCAGTTTGGAAGAACCTTCAGCGAAGGTGCATATGAACCTGGGTGCAGTTTTCTATGGTGGTGTCTGTTTGCACTTGCGAGTGGGGAAACCCCGGCTTCTTTTATCAGGGATATTTAGCTAACTGGGCGAGGACACTTCTTTGTCAACAGAGCTGCCCTTGCTCCGAGTTCTACACTGTCAGCCTGGCCTGGAGACGAGCTGGGGCCTGGATCATTGGCCAGGTAATAAGTGAGGCACTGAATCACTGATGCAACGAGCAGTGTTTTGAGGACAGAAAAAACTCATAAGGGCGTCCTGGCTCCACTGACCTCAATAGAGCCCTGAGCGGATGCCAAATTTTTATCTGCATCCAGTTTGCACAAATGGGCCGCGGATGTCCGCAGATTTGCAGGGCTCCAGACGTCAGTAACAAAACTCCCTTTGAATTCAATGGGAAAAGGGTTTCACCCCAAGTGTGTGGTCCCGAACTCTGCCTGAATGGGAGGGGGTGTGTCTCAGACCCAGAAGAAGGCTGATCTTGTGGGGAAAGCCCTGGACTGGCACTCGAACTGGGTTCAATTTCCAGTTCTGTCACATTCTCCCCCTTTCACATTGGACCAGCCCCTCTGTGCCTCCCCCCGACATCTGTAACATTCCTTACGTAAGTTCTTAGGGGAAGACGCAGTCTCTTACCCCTAACGCCTGGCTTCTGACGGAAGAGGTCAGGTTACTATTTTTTCAGCATCACCTATGTCCTCGCTGCTGAATGAGACCCGGAGATAAAAACCAAATCCCTGACCCGAGAAGCCTAAGTTCTGCATGGGTTTGGGGAACAGGAGGAGAGACAGATTGTGGGGGAAGGAGGGAGAGGATTAGGGTTTCCCTGAGCCAGGGCTTGTCTACACTGTCCCTGCTTTGCCGGTCTAGCTAAGCTAGCAGAGCCCCCTAGTGTAGATGCTTTGTTATGCTGGCGAAGAAACTTTCTGCCTCCGCCTCTTTGAACCACATTAGCTCTGGCACCAGAAGCATTCAGCTGTTGGCATAGTTACATCTACACCGTTGTGCCAACCTCACTGCCCATTGGCAGTGTCATTCTTTTCATGCTCCTAGCCCACTTACAGATGCTGGCAGTGTGGACTAAGCCCCAAACTTTCTAGCTGTAAAGGAGACCCCAAGAGATTCACGGTTCTGGAAATAACCCCTCAGCTTTTCTCAGTCTCGCGTTCTCAGAGCGATGTCCGGAAAGCCCCAGGCAATAAGGCTCGTAGCAGAGAGGGACTCTCTGAAATACAGGGAAGAGTTTATTTTTCATGCTCGTGACAATCCGGCAATGCAGGAACAAGGAAGGAATGAAGCAGCGATCAGAGCAGGGGCTATGCATGAGTGCCGGCATCAATCCTGGCTCACTGGGGCGGGGCACGAACTCCTTCCAGAACTGGGAACATCAGCCCAAATTCAGAAATGTGCATGACGGCATAAACTCCCTTATACCCACTGGTCTGGTCCTCTATGCTAATATTCCCCACCCACCACATATACTGCAACTGCCAATGCAGCTGTCCCACTGGGAGTACTAGTGTAGACAGGCCAATGCCGTTTGTTTAACCTTTGTCATATAGATCTGCTCAGAGCTGGCTTACGAGGGGGGGAGGGGGCCCTATTGTCTCCCATGCCCTGCACCTTGTGGTGTCATTGACACCAGCCCAAAGTTAGAGTAAAGAGGTGGCAGGCAGGAGGGCTGGCTCAGTGGCTCAGTCACTGGCCTAGCAACTGAGAGACCTGGCTTCAAGTCCTTGCTCCATCTGCGTGACCTTGGGCAAGACTTTTAACCTCTCTGTGCTCAGTTCCCCTTCCATATGATGGGGATCTGCCATACAATGCCGCCATCTTCCCAGGGGTTGAGCATAAACACAAAGAGTGCAAGGTACTCGGATACCATAGTCATGAGACCCAAAGTACCTGAGACAGCAGGTGCAGGACAAGGGAGAATCAGGCCCATGGGGATAAGAATGCTGATGGCCATGGGCAACCATGTCTACATTAGCACTCCCAATATTGATGCCACGGATGGAATCAGCATGAGAATAAAAGAACAGCACAAGCTTGTAGGGATAAAATCAGAAAGGTTAAGGCTCAGAATGAGTTACAGATGAGGCAAGAGTCATAAAAGGCAATAAGAAGAGGTTCTATAAATATATTAGGAGCAAGAGAAAGATAAAAGTAAGTGCAGGCCCACTGCTTAGTAAGGAAGGAGAGCTAAAAACAGACATCATCAAGAAGGGGTATAATGCCTACTTTACTACAGTCTACATAAAAAAGGTTAATTGTGGCCAGATACTTAACACAATTAATATTAACAAGGGGGAAGGAACACAAGCCAGAAAAGGGGAAAGCCAGGTTAAGAAATATTTAGATACATTAGATGTATTAAAGTTAGCAGGGCCTGACAATATTAATGATTGGGTTCTTAAGGAACTAGTTGAAGCAATTATCTTCAAAAACTTATGGAGGGTGGGTGAGGTCCCAGAGGACTGGAGAAAAGCAAACATAGTACCTCTCTTCAAAAAGGGGAACAAAGAGGACCTGGGGAATTATAGACCAGTCAGCCTAACTTTGATATGAGAACAAACTTTTAAACAATTAGTTTGTAAGCATTATAAGTATTAGCCCCCATGAAATTGTAAAGAAGACATCATGTCAAACCAGTCAAATTTCCTTCTTTGATGAAGTTACTGGCCTAGTGGATGGGGAGAAGCTCAGTAGAGGAGAAATCTTAATTTTAGTAAGGCTTTTGACACAGTTCCACGTGACGTTCTTATAAGCAAACTAGGGAAATGTAGTCTAGATGAAATTACTAAAAGGTGGGTGCACAACTGGGGGATAGACAGGAGAGTGGGTTTGTTTGGGGGGGGGGGGGGAAGAAAACCTGGATTTGTGCTGGAAATGGCCCACCTTGATTATCATACACATTGTAAGGAGAGTGATCACTTTACATAAGCTATTACCAGCACGAGAGTGGGCTGGGGGGGAGAGAAAACCTTTTGTAGTGATAAACACCCATTTTTTCATGATTTGTGTGTATAAAAACAAACATCTTCTGTATTTTCCACAGTATGCATCCGATGAAGTGAGCTGTAGCTCACGAAAGCTTATGCTCAAATAAATTGGTTAGTCTCTAAGGTGCCACAAGTCCTCCTTTTCTTTTTGCGAATGCAGACTAACACGGCTGTTACTCTGAAACCTATTCAGAGAGTAGTGATCAATGGTTTGCAGTCAGACTGGGAGGATGTATCTAGTGGGATCTGTCACTAGTCAAGCATTTCATTAATGACTTGGAGTGGAGCGGATGTTTATAAGATTTGCAGATGACATCAAGCTGGGAGGGCTTCCAACACTCTGGAGAACATTAGAATTCAAAATAATCTTGATAAATTGGAGAACTGGTCTGAAGTCAACACAATTAGATGTAATAAAGACAAAGGACTTCACTTAGGAAGTAGAAATTAACTGCAAAATGGGGAATAACGGGCTAGGTAGGGCCAGGAAGAAATGGAGAGGGACCTACAGAAGAAGAGGTTACAGAGAAACAGAGGAGGAGAACAGAAGTTGGTAGGAGAGACAAAATAACCAAGACAAAGGGACAGGCATCTGTCCTGGCCAGAATGTTGTTTTAAACTAGCAATAGTAACTCAGATAATTTACAGATCAAGATCTTCCAAGGTTAGGCTGCTACCATGTACCTCTTTGTAGCCCTCTGGCCTGCCTCCCATGCCATCCTCCCCTAGACGCGGCTGCTACTGACCTGGCTGCAGTCCTTGACCCAGTGTTTGCTCCCTGCGCAGATTATATGATTAGTTTTCCCGGGGTTCAAAGAGCGGCATTCCTTTGCTGGCCGGATGGTGACGTCGGTCTCAAAGAGCTTGTCGGTGGTTTTTCCATGGTCAATATGGCCCCATCCAGCTACGCTGCACTGGCTCCGTGGGGTGACATCTCTGTTGGCTTTGGGCAGGCGAATGACATTGACATATTTGTTTAGACTGGCTTTCCCCTTCAGCTGTGGGGGTGGAGGTGGGGGAGATCCAGAAATGTGTTAATGGTTTTAAATATTGCCCACCAAAGGCTCTGTCACTGCATGTTTCTAAGAGAGCCGACGGCCAGACTGCCTCTCCTGCTTCTCCCTTCTCCATCACATCAAACCAAACTACTTTCCAGGCCCCTCCTGGCCTGTTCCCACCCGGCGCCCTATCCTCTCTCGCGCAATCAAGAGCTTGACTCCCGCCTCTGACCACCCATGAGACCAGCCTCCATTGCCCATTTGTTATGCTCTCAGATAAGCCCCTTTGTGCTTTCTCCCCTGCTGCCCATCTCGCATGGGAGGAGTGCCCCATAAGCTTCCCCAAAGCCACCTCATCGCTCCCCTTCCAACACCTCCTCAAACTCTCCTTTGGCATGATGCTTACACAAACCTCGACAATACAGCTGCCCAGCATGCTGACCGAGTAAATACCGTCTCCTTTGTTTTCTTGTCCTCCCCTGTTCATCTGTCTCTTGTCTTGGACTAAGCTCTTTGGGCCAGGGCCCATCTTTTTGTTCGGTTATTGTACAGGGCCTAGCGCAACTGGGTTGGGGGTCTGTGTCTTGGGCCAGTAGGTACTACCACAATACAAAGCTTCATCCAAGTCATGCTCTACAGGGCGGGGGTCTGTGCCCTCCATCCCAACAGCAGAGCCCAGATGGACCTAAACTGGCACCCCGATCCAAACTCTGGGGAAAGGGCAGAGCCAGCTCTGCACATTGTGTCTTCAGCTCCCTTCTGGCATAAATTACCCCTGACCACGGCCAAGCGCCAATCCTCACATGGTGCCCAGAGGTATGAACCTGGAAGTGAATATTAGCCCAACAAATCTGTTACCTTCAGCAAAAGGATGTCATTGGCTCGAGGACATTCTTTGTCGTCGGGGTGCGGGTGATAGCTTTGAACCACAAACGTTTGCTGGCAGTCCTCTTGCTTGTGGATATTGTGAGCTCCTAAGGTGACTGTCAGGTTCCTGAAATTGGCAAAAGCAAATCAATCCGCAATTGCTTTTCCTTTTCTGGCCTGCTCTGTAACCGTGTGGCAGCTGGTCCTGACACCCACCCGCTAGCTGCCTAGAAAAACTGCTGCAGCCATAAACCAAAGGAAACCTATTAACCAGCCTAGGGATTTATAGATAATGAACGTCTGTGAGCTGATTGCAAAGGGCCTTAAAGTGAGCACATGTTCCCCTTACACTGCCAGAGTAACTAACGGGTCCTTAATGCACTTGGGAATTGGGCCTGCGTCTGGGAGTTTGGGCATCAGGACGCCTGGGTTTTATTCCTGACTCTGCTGCTGACTCACTGTGTGGCTTTGGACACATCACAGCCCCTCCGTGCCTCAGTTTCCCTGGCTGCAAAATGAGAGTTAAGGGTATTCATCTGAGGGTTAATTAGCATTTGTAAAACCCTTGCAGGCTACAACAGGCAAAGCGCTATGCTGCTGTAATTAACCTGTGCTGGGTGTGTCATTGAGCGGGGTCTGTTTCCACTGGAGTCCCGCAGGGATTGGTTCTTGGCCCTGTGCTATTTAACATCAGTGACTGGAAGCCAGCATAAAACGATCACTGATAACGTTTGCAGACGGCACAAAAATTGGGGGAGTTGTAAAGGCCCAGGAGGGACAGGTGGCTGATTCAGAGTGATCTAGGTTGGCTGGTAAACTGGGTGCAAGCAACCAATGTGGTTTTTAATATGGCTAAATGTGTCCATCTGGGAGCAAAGACTGTCGGCCATACTTACAGGAGGGGGGAGCTCTAGCCTGGAAAGCAATGGCTCTGCAAAAGACTACGTTGGGGCGTGCTGAACATGAGCTCCCAGTCAGTCTGTGTCCAGAAGGGCTAATGCAACCGTAGGATGCATAGACAGGGGATTCTCGAGTAGGAGTTCAGGGGTTATTTTACCTCTGAATTTGGCACTGCTGCGACTGCTGCTGGAATCTTGTATTTGGTTCTTGTGCCCATAGTTGAAGAAGGGTGTTGATGCATTGGAGAGGGTTCAGAGAAGAGCCACAAGAATGATTAAAGGATTGGAAAACATGCCTGATAGTGATAGACTCAAGGAGCTCCATCTATTTAGCTCAACCAAGGGAAGAGTAAGGGGTGACTGGATCACAGTTTATCAGTGTCTTCACAGGGAACAAATATTTAATCATGGGCTCTTCAGTCTAGCAGGGAGAGGTCCAACACAATCCAGTGGCAGGAAGGTGAAGCTAGACACATTCAGACTGGAAATAAGGAATAATTTTTTCACAGTGAGAGCAATTAGCCACTGGAACAATTTACCTAGTGTCGGGGTGGGAAGTGGATTCTCCTTCACAGACAACTTTTAAATCTGCTTCAAACAGATCTGCTCTAGGGATTATTTTGGGGCAGTTCTTGGGTCTGTGCCATACAGGAGGTCAGACTAGATGATCACAGTGGTCCCTTCTGGCCTTAGGAACTATGAATCAATAGTTATAAATACTTTAATAATTCTGGAGTTAAGCACTATAAAGCGTTTTCAGATAAAACCAGATGAAAAGGCAAATCCTTCCTCCAACACGTGGCCTTGGTCTGGTGATCTCCCACCAGAGAGAATCTCCCTGCCACTCCCAGCTCTTTAAGTCAAAGTGGGACCACTTTGTGGGTGCACTGTGCTCCTAATGTGAAGGAAGTAAGGGAGGGCAGAGATGAGTTACAAGCCTTTGAAGGATGATGCTCTACAGTAGAAGGTTTCAGATTGGTTTGGTTTTGTGTTTTCTTTTTCCCCCAAACAAGGTTGATTTGGTGACACTGAAAGATTTTTGCGAATGTGTGCCCATTTCAGTGAATTGTTTTGGCCAACAGAAGCCCGAAAAAGTCCAAGTGTTCTTCAGTTCGAAAATGTCAAAACACGTTTTTTCGATTTGGGGGGAAGTCAAAATGACTGTTAGAGTTTTATTTCAATTTTATCACAATATGCAAACACCTGAAAATACCTCTCAACATCAAAACGTTTTGTTTGACCCAATTTTTTTTTGAGAAAAATTCTTAAAAAATCATTCAGGTTGACCCGAAATGACTCCTCCCTGATCCAGCAAATGCAAACACGTGGATTTTTAATTCAATCTTGTGAATATTTTTTGGAGCCTGGCTCATCGTTTCTGAATGGTTGGCTGTTGTTTGTCAGTGTAACTTGTTTGTTTTACACGAAAAAAACAGAAAGACCATCCTTAAGCATTGTTCCCCACTAAATTTGTATAGCATCTCAAACCATCCACACGGCATCTGTGCAGGGGGGGGTTAAAATCTAAAAAGCAACTTTCCCTGCTCCCCTTCAAAGCTTTCTTTACCAAATCTCCCTTCTTTATCAACCTACTTCCATTAGGGTTCTGGAGATAGAGGGAGCTAGATCCCCAGCTGGTACAAGTCTGCTTAGCTTTACTGAAGCCAAGGGACCTAGGCTGATCTACACTAGCTGTGGATTTTGCTGATGATTGTGGCGGAGGATGGGTGACTTGGGTGGAGCCTGAGAGTCTTAAACGTTGGGGTTTGGAGATAAAGTTATCAGCGATGGTTGTGATAAAGTTGTCATGTCTACATGTTGATTTTTCCATGGTGTCTCATTGTTTTTGCTGATACAGACTAACACGGCTACCCCTCTGAAATCTGCCATTTAGACTGTTATCAGAAGCCATGTGCCTTCTCGCCACTCCTATGTTTGACTGACAGCTTTAAACCCAGTTAGAAAGGGATGTTTCGCTCTGTGGCACACGAGTGCCTCTAACTGACCATGTGGTAGATAGTGAGGGGCTCGGGTGGGGGTGGGTATCAGGGTCCAGATCATACCCCAAGTTCCTAGTCCACTGTCTTGTCTCTAACTGTGGCTAGAACCAGCTGCTTCAGAATAAAGCGTAAGAAACCCAGTTTTTAGATAAATTACCCCAGTGAAGCTTCTTCCTATCCCCCATGGTTAGCGCTGGGCTAGAAACTTTTTTACGAAATGGAAGCTGAGAAAGGAAAACACCAAGATGTCATGATATGCAATGAAATCATGCAAGTTGGTAAAGCTGGACCTGCTCAGCACTGGCCTAACTCTGCTCCGGCAGTGGGAGTTTTCCTCCTCTCGAGCTTTTTCTAGCAGCGATCAGTGACAAACCCAGGGCCACAAGAAAAGCACAAGGAGGCAGCGGGCAGTATGTGAGAGGGTCTGTATCTAAACTGAACGGCAAAGCTAATCAGGCGGCAGGTTTCAGAGTGGTAGCCGTGTTAGTCTGTATCAGCAAAAACAATGTGGAGTCATTGTGGCACCTTAGAGACTAACAAATTTATTTGGGCATAAGCTTTTATGGGCTAGAACCCACTTCATCAGATGCAGGGAGTGGGAAATCCAGTAGCAGCACATGAAATCACAGCACATGAAAAGATGGGAGTTGTCTTACCAAATGGGAGGTCAGTCTAACGAGACAATTCAATTAACAGTAGGATACCAAGGGAGGAAAAATCACTTTTGTAGTGGTAATGAGAGTGGCCCATTTCAAACAGTTGACAAGAAGGTGTGAGTAACAGTAGGGGGAAATTAGTATGGGCAAAATTAGGTTTTGTAATGACCCAACCACTCCCAGTCTTTATTCAGGCCTAATTTGATGGTGTCCAGTTTGCAAATTAATTCCAGTTCTTCAGTTTCACGTTGGAGTCTGTTTTTGAAGTTTTTTTGTTGAAAAATTGCCACTTTTCGGTCTGTTATCGAGTGACCAGGGAGATTGAAGTGTTCTCCTACTGGGTTTTAAATGTTATAATTCCTGATGTCAGATTTGTGTCCATTTATTCTTTTGCGTAGAGACTGTCCGGTTTGGCCAATGTACATGGCAGAGGAGCATTGCTGGAAACATGATGGCATATATCACATAATCAGGTGGGTTACACATTCCCAGCAATAAGGACCAGGAACACCTACAGACTGTGCCCTTCCCATTTGCAAAGTTCCCTCTAGACAGGAGATATTAAAGGCTGCATAGTCCGGAACCAGAAAACCACATGGGTCTTTTTCAGTTCTCCTGGGGCACTTCCCCCTGTGGCCTGGGAAGTGGAAAGAGGGCTGTTCTCCTTTGGGCTGAAGTGCTCATTTACACCCATGCAACTCACTGAAATCAAAGGGCCTACCCCATTGCAACTGGGAGCAGAATTTGGCCCTTTGTGTTTATCTGGAGAATGATCAGAAACCCACTGAAAAGGGACGTTTTGAAGCTGGAGAATGAGACGCTGTGAAATGCAGATTGGCGTTTATTTTTTCAGGCTTGTTACATGCCCAGCATCGCAGCGAGCGACAGAGGAGGAATGGAGCAGTGACTGGGGTGAAGGGGGTGTGAGAACATAGCATTGGGGAGTTGGGGACTGGCCAGGATTCAGACTCCTGCTGCTGCATGCTTTTGCTGGACCCTTTCCAGCCTCCGGATTTCTCTCCGCTTCAGCTCTGACAATGTGGCACCAGCTGAAATTGCCAGGGAGAGAAACTCCTCTGTAAACCCAAGTGAAGCCCAACCTCAGCCTGGGACTGAACCAGGGAAACAAACCAGGGAACGCCCAGGAGGGAGCGAGCACAGGTCAGAGCCTTCCCCTCCAGGTGGTCCAAAACCACCTCCTTGGGCCGATTTCAACCCTCTTCAGTGCCCCCTGCTCTAGAATTATCTCTGGCTCTGCTCTGATGGTCTAGGCACATGCCGGAGACTGGGCAGCTGTGCCCTATTTAAGTCAACTGGGACAGAAGGAATCCTGAAGACCCTCAGAACAGCAAAGCCCCTGGCTCATATTGAGCCTCTGCTTCTTCAGGGGACCAGTCAAGAGAATATTCACTCAGGGGGCTGAAAACTTGACATTCCTCTCCTGAGCCAACAGAACCCAGGTGACAAGGGACCTGCTGGGCATGCAGGCCTTCAGAGCTACAGTAACAAGGCCATAGAGGCACCCAGAGAAAGTCTTGTCCCCTACGGTTTCATACAACACCAGGAAGGGAGAAAAAGCTAGCGGATGCAGTATAAGGGAAAGCAGCATGGGTCTCCAAGGCAGAAGATGCTGGAGGAGAAGCTGGAGCATCTCCCTCTCCGGTCCTCTAGCCCATGATCTTTCTGATCCACGGAAGGTAGTTGGCAATACGGGTGTAGACGGCAGGAGGGAAGCTGTAGCCAAAGGAAACAATTCCCTGTGCCACCCCGTTGCAGATCAGAGGCCCCCCGGAATCCCCCTGCCAAACAGAGAAGAGGAGAGACTTCAGAGGCCCTCCAGACACAGGGCCAACTTAATCCAGGGGTCAACCCGTTGAGTTGGCTGCTCTGTGCAAAGCCAATGTGGTAGCCCCATGTCACAGGTACTGCAATCACTGGGTAAGACTGCGGCTCACGAATGATGTTCCCAAGTCAGCATTACTGCGACATTGCAGTTGCACCAGTGTAGGGTGTCCAAACACACCCAGAACCCTGGGTCAGTACTCCCAGGGCTAGCCCGTCCTGCCGCGGCTTCACGGCTGTGGTACCCGAGTCAGCTAAATTAAAGCCAGCTCGGCTACATGTACACCTGGCGGCGATCGCCCCCTGTGACCGCGGCAGAGACGTACCCGCCAGCATGGCCCAGAGCGGTCTGGGCGAATGATGGCGTTTTCAGCTCGCGCCAGTTCCAAACAGCAGCAAGGGGGAAAAGGGTCTTGGCGAAATGAACCATGTCCTTGGGGTGTCGAGCTTTTTCAAGGAAAACGGAGAGGAATTTCTGAAGGGCGAGGCATTTTGAATCGAAAAATCAAAACGTTCTGTTTTGAAAAGGTGTTTCAATTTTGTTCAGAAATTTGGGGGGGGCAGGGAGGGAGTTGTTTTTTTCACCGAAACCATTGCGTGAATTTAACACAACTTTGTGCAATGTTTCGGTTGACCTAAATCTGCATGATTTTGCCAATAAATAAATAAATAAATAAAAATGGGGGTTGAAAAATGTTGCCCAGCTTTCCTGTAGATGGGACTCACGAAGGAACCCGTCGGTGTCGGGCCATATGCTTCCACAGATCTCCGGGCTCAGCAGCAAACCCTCCTCCAGGAGCTGAATGCAGGGTTTGTGTCAGCCTGGGTAGCAAGAAATAGGGTGACCAGACAGCAAATGTGAAAAATCGGGACGGGGGTGGGGGGTAATAGGAGCCTATATAAGAGAGCTACCCAAAAATTGGGACTGTCCTTATAAAATCGGGACAGCTGATCACCCTAGCAAGAAACCACATGGGGGAAACCCTTACAGGAGACACATGAGCTGGCAGGAGATTTGCATCCATGAAAGTCCCTCCTCTTAGAGTTCAGAGTAACAGCCGTGTTAGTCTATATTCTCAAAAAGAAAAGGAGTACTTGTGGCACCTTAGAGACTAACCAATTTATTTGAGCATAAGCTTTCGTGAGCTACAGCTCACTTCATCGGATGCATACTGATGAAGTGAGCTGTAGCTCACGAAAGCTTATGCTCAAATAAATTGGTTAGTCTCTAAGGTGCCACAAGTCCTCCTGTTCTTTTTTCCTCGTAGAGTGGAACCTAAGCAGCTTGCCTGGCAGTCCCAGCCCAGGAGCTGAGGTCCTGGTGTCTGCACTTCCACCCGGTTGCCGGTGTTTCCAGTACTGACCTGGCTGGAGTCCTTGAGGTGGTGGAAGCTGCCGGCACATAGCATGCCATCGTTGAGGTTGGGGTAGATGCTGAGGCATTTCCTGCGGCTGTAGATGGTGACGTTGGTCTCAAAGAGCCGGTTGGTGACCCTCTCTTTGTCAATGTAGCCCCATCCTGCCATGCTGCACTTGGTGTCGGTGGGGACGTCGCTGCTGGTCTTGGGCAGAGGGATGACCTGGACGTATTTATTCAGCTTGGCCTTCGCTGTCAGCTGGGTGGGAGGAAGAGAAGGAGTATTAAGCCCCAAGCAGTAGTCAATGGAATCTGGAGGCAGGGGTGAGAATGGTTCAGGGAGAAGATGTCCAGTGGCCCCACCTGGCCAGGTGATGGGAGAGACTGAGCATCCTCAGAGCCAGTGTTCAGCAACCTACAGCATCAGGCCCTGAGCACTTACACTAAGCAGCCTAGGGGACAGGAGGGAGGCAATACTGGAGAACATGCAGCTTGCAGGGGATGTGGGACAGTGAAGCTGACACTGGGTGATCTATTCTGAGCGGGGCTGAGTGCTCCTGACCCCCAGGGAACTCCAGGAAAGTTGAGGTTGCAGGATCTGCCCACGGTTTCCTTTCTCTGGCTGGACCATCTCAAAATAATAAAGCCCAGTTTGAAAAGTGAGCTTTGACTTCTCCCCACAGCACAAGACGTAAAATTCTCTCTCTGTTCTGAGCCATCCGCACTTAGCCCCTCAGCCCCCCCGCTCCCCCGAAGCAGCTGTCAGGGGGACCTCCCCCCGCTGCAGACAAGTCACTTACCTTTAGCAGCAGGATGTCATTAGCTATCAAGATGTCGTTGTATTCAGGGTGGTTGTAGTAAGTCTCAACCCCCAGCACCTGCTGAGACTCCTCTGGCTTATGGATATCGTGAGATCCCAGGATCACGGTGATATCCCTGAAATGGGCAGGAGACAGCGTGGGTCACTTTCCCTGGCACAGCCCCTCTCCCCTCCCCGAGCAATGGGGGCAAGGATGCAGAGACATCTGGCTTCACACAGACTGCAGACGAATCCTGCTTTAAAATTTATTCTGTCAATCAGTGTGAGAAGGACAAACCCGGCGACGGTAGCTACCCCATGCAGTGAGCGGCGGTCATCACCCAATCCGGGGCCACCAGAAACCCCCCGCAGCCGAAATCACCCGAAACCTTCAGGGCTGCCATGTAGGGTCTGGAGTGGGGCTTGGCTTCATGCCCCCCAACAATCTGATTCCGCAAAGCACCTGAAAGACACACGGACTCCTGATCAGGAGGTGAGGGGATGGCTCCTTCCTCACCTTGTGCATAGACCCTGGATAGTCACCCTAGCCCATGGCTTCCTCTACTCACCAGCATGGGCCAAGGGGTAGGACAGGGAAAGCAGGAGCAGGAGACATTGGGGCCGCTCCATCTCTGAGTTCACAGCTCCTCGGGTCCTCTTCCAGGCTGGGCGCCAATCTGAGCCTCCTGCTGTCCCATGGCTGGTTTTATAGCCTCAGACCAATGAAACTCGGAAACCAGGAAACCGCCTGTGCTGGGCTGATCTAAATGATCCGGGCACAATCAGATCCTTGTGCGTCTATCTGCTATCTCCTCTCCGCTGGCCTCTGGTCACTTGCTTCAGATGCTCGGAAGCTGGCCCGATCACCAAGTTGACCACTTCTGGGGGGGTGCAGGACAATGCATCTCCTGTTCCCAGTGGGGCAGCCAGTCAGGAGAGAGCAGTCGCTGTGTTAACGGGCCCTGCTTAAAACAAACACAAACCTGGCTCCATAAAGCACCTTCCCCAGGATCTCAGAGCTGATGCCCCAGCATGCACTGTGCTCATGATAAATGCCCCCCCATCGCTCAACACTGGGCATGGGGTTTTCCTGTGGGGCATGGAAAGCATGGGGCCTACACAGTGTGAGACAAGGAAGACAACGTTTGCAAACTGCCCAGTGATTGGGTGCAGGCGGAATCTCCCCGGTGAGTGTGTTATAGGTGTCATGTGGTGCCCAATCCACTGGCGGAGCCGTGGCTTTCTAGCTCAAGCTGCGGCAGCTGGTGCTTTTAGCTCCGGAGGTCTGTGGTGTGCTGGCGAAGAGGGTGGCTGTCACCCGGCCAGCAGGGGATCTTCTGGGGCTAGCAATGGACAGATGGAAATGTGCTCTGTAGAACAGGCCCCAGTAGGCTGGTTAGATTGGAGTGGAGAGGCCTCGGTCCTTCTGTACCATTCCTATCCTATGTCTATAGCACGTCTCACATGCACAGATCAAGGCACTTAAAAAGGCAGGCCAGTACCGTTATCCCCATCTTACAGATGGAGAAACTGAGGCCCGGGAAGCGGACGTTACTTCCCCAAGGTCGCCCTGGGATGATGCAGTGCTGGTGTCAGCAGAGATTACATGTGGGTGCAAGGAAAGGCTACGCACTGGGACCAGCTCTCTGCAGTGAGCAGGAGTCGTTCCCAAACGCTGGGCCGGCCGTGTCCTCTATTCCCAGGAGCAGGGGATTAAAAATGGGCTGGATATGGGCAGAGACATGGGGTTAAGTGTGAGTCTCATGCCCTGTCAGCCCCCATTTGCTGCATGTGGGGTCTTCAGCTCACGCTGTAGCAGCTTGTGTGTTTAGCACTGTAGGTGCCGAGTTCAAACCTAACGCATTGACCAAGAGGGTGGTTGTCACTGTTGTAACCCATTTGGAACTTGCAGTGGGTGCAGCTCTGGTCTGGGACCCAGGAGACCCTGGTTCTGTTCGTGGCTCTGCCACTGACCTGGCTGGGTGACTTTGGGCAAGTCACAGCCCTGCTCTGTGCCTCAGTTTCCCCATCTGTACAATGGGGATAATAATATTCACCTCCTTTGTAAAGCACTTGGAGATTTATGGCTGGGATGTGCTAGACAAGAGCTAGGAGGTGGCATTATTATTATTATTATTTATTATTTATTAAGACCTATGACTGAGTAGTTTAAATTGTTCCCTTGCGTGTGTCTATGTTGAGTTTCATCTCCCATCAGGTAGCCAAGTCCTGAAGGAATTCCTCATGCTCCCCCTTACTCTGGGTTAATCTCACTCATTCTGTGACAACACCCGGTGTGGCCATCTCATTATTAACCCTCTGGTGCAGGCTGTTAATAAACAATGTGGCCTGCACCACTGCAAAGTCCTGCGTCGTGGGAAACCCCACTCCGCTCCTCTCCCTCTGAGAACCATCTGTTCGTGTCACGGACCTCGCGTGACGGCTGGAGCCAGCAATAGCCATAACCATTCATGTGAAGAGCACGAGAAGGTGGCGGGTGGTGTGGGAGAGGATCTGTATCTCCTTTCAATCGTGACGGGTTCTGTGCCATCCTGGAGATAACGGTCAAGAACACCAGCCGCCTGAGAGTGTCCTTTCTGCTGTCATACATTTTTCCATTGGGCAGAAGGCGCTAACGGCTGCCCAGTCTGTAACCGAAAACCACACAGGCCTTTGCCATTTCGGCGGGCTTGGCTCGGATGCTATCATCACAAGCGCGGTACTGGAAGAGGAGAGACTTAAGGCCTCGCTTAGGCCGAGAGTTTCTGTGGAGACGCCGTGAAGGGGCCCGATTTTCAGCAGGTAACTGCTCGGCAGTCTGTGAAAATCAGACCCTTCCAACTGGGCTCCCAAAGTCATTAATCTTCCTTGGAAATCTTGACCTTAATGTCCTGAGGTTGATGGCGTCAGTGGGACATGGAGGAAGAGAAGATGCTTCTCCCCTCTGCGCTCCACCCCGGACGCCGCTGAGTCCATCCCTGGCATCTGCCCAACAAGAGCAGCAATCCGAAGCAGGAGCTACCAGAAGAGGCTCTGTTACCTCCTTCCCACTGCAAACACCTTCAGCAGGAGGACAGTTAGCTGGCGCTGCTTGCTCAGTGCCTGGTCTGCAGGGGCTTGATTCAGCCCATACCCATAGATCCCAACAGGAGCTGGCTCAGACCCTAGGTAAGAAGAGGACCTCAAGTCTTAGCAGACAGGGAAGTTGTCTAAAGAGCCCACTTGCCTAGAGCCCTGCTCTAGGTTCAGTGTCAGACCCTTTGAGGGAAGGGTCTCTGGAATTATCCCTGGTTCAGTTTTGTGCCGAATTCTCTGTGGGGGGTCAATGGGGCCATAGCTGCATTTGACATCAGCTGAGTGTGTGGCTTTGGGACTCAGTTTTGTGACCTCTTGCCGAGATGGTCAGGGAGGCAACCCTACGCTCTGGGAGGTCACTAAACCTCTGATTGCCAGAAGCTGGGACTGGATGACTGGGGATGGCTAACTCAGTAATTGCCCTGTCCTGCTCATTCCCTCTGAAGCCTTTGGCAGTGGCCACTCTTGGAGACAGAATTCTGGGCTACTTGGGCCATTGGTGTGACCCAGAATGGCCATTCTCACATCCACAGGTACAGACAGAATCCTGAACCCCCCCTGCTAGAGACCCTCATGTCCTCCAGGGGACCAGTCAGGGGACTCTTAACTCAGGGGATTTAAATCTTTAAAGAGCACATTTTGCATATCTCTTGGCAGGCTAATGATGCCCCCCCTAATCTCTGCTCACACAAGGGTGTGTTTGTCCCCAGGGAGAAGAGCCTCTTCCTCTAATGATGATATTTAAGAGCGGAGAGCCTGTTAGTTCCTTGCCCTGGGGAGGAATTAGGGGCCTTGTTTTATCCCTGTAGCTTCATACAACACCCCTAAGGGGGGTGCACACACACAGAGCAGAGGCAACATCAGGAAAGCAGCACAGGTCTCCAAGGTAGCAGATGATGTAGGAAATTGGCACCTTTCTTTCCTGTCTTCTATCCCATGGCCTGGAAGGGAATGTAAGTCAATTGGAAAGTATAGGGAACTATACACACTGCTGTGTCTGTGCACATGGTCCAGCCATTATATAGGGCCCTCTAACAGGCTGATCTGCCCCTTTCAATGCCTGGAGCCAGCCAGCCTTCTTCCATTATCAGACCCTGCTGAGAAGGGGGGTCAGGGGCTTTCTATGAAGGGCTCAGAGAGTTATAGGTGGGAGAGGAGCTCATGGAGCATCCTTCTTTCAGCACTGAGAGGCCATGGCAGAAGCTTGTAGGAGCTGTAACTCAGGGTGGTCAGAGGAACTGCTTCTGTTTGGCATTTCAAGAACACAGCTGTGTCCTAAGGCAAGGGCCTGGGAGGCTCTGGCTGTGGCGTGAGTTGGGGCTGGGGAATGTTGTAATAATTGGGGCCGAGCAGACCCACCCCGATTGGGAGCTGGCCTGGGAAAGTTGGAAGAAGGTTATAAAGTGTTCCAATCCCCGGTTGCAAGAGTTGATGGGAGAAGGGTGACAGAAAGACTAAGTTAGACCAAACAAAAAGGCCGACTGGTCTAAGGACTGGGCTAAGACCATGGCTGGGGAACAAGAGGTATGTGGGACCAATCAATGAACCACAATTGGTGTGTTGGAAATTAGGCCTAAATGGTGGACGAAATAACGAGGCGATTGGTTATTCCACCCCTCACTCCCTTCTGGGGTCCTTTTAAAAAAAAACTTTGGAGACAGAGAGAGCTGGCTGGCTGGGAGACAGGAGAATGGAAGGAGCAAATGAAACCCTCATGGCTGCTATTCTCACCATCTCCTGGGACTCACTGTGACACGGTTCGGCCTTTGTCATCCTGATCCTGAGACGGGTCTTGGCTAGGACTGGGGGAATAATGGATTTTTTGGTTCGCTGGCAACTCTGAAAAATAACATAAAAGTTTTTGTTTTGGGTTGAACCGAAAACAAATTTTTCAGTGAATCGCAAAGTTGGAGAAATGCCATGTCAGGCTGAAACAGAGCGTTTTGTGCAGACGCAAAATGGTTTGTTTGGATTTTGGGCATTTTGACCAAATATCCTAGTGGGGAGGGCACTGCCTTTTTATAGCCTTTAGCCCAGCAGGTAGGGAACTCACCGGGGCTGAGGGAGACCCTGGTTCAATTCTTCTCTCTGTCTGATGTGGGGTCTTCCATGTTGTAGGAGCATGTCCTAGCCACTGGACTACAGGTTGGCTCAATCTCGCTGGTTGAAGCTGTTCTGTTGGGCCAGGGAAAAAGAGCACAGATGACTCTATAGCCTAGTGGTTACAGCCTGCCGTTAAAACAGGGGAGACCCATGTTCAAGTCCCTGTTCCGATGACTAACTATTTAGGGAGAGTAGAACAGCTTCAAGAGAAGGGACTGAGAGTGAGGTTTGTGCCGAGAGGCCGTATCTGACCCACAACAGAGATACAAGGGGAGCCCTTAGATAAAACTCCGGCTGCATTTTGGAGATAAGAACTCAGCCTGCTGCAAAGTGCTGGCCGCTCAGCGCGGTTCCTCCACGTGTGCTGATCGCCCGCTTGCCACGGGGATTGCTGACGGCTGCCCCTGATTGCTACTCATAACCACAGCGGTCAGTAGCTGGTGGTTTCACAGCAGAAGTGGAGGTTGTTGGGTCTGACCCATCCTGTTCATAAGCCTAGATCCCTAAGGGAACACACACGTTGCCAGGGCTGGATTTAGGCAGGGTCTGGGCTTCAGACTTGGAGAGTTTCCCCCCAAATCAGGGAACGGACAGAGGCGGAGCAGCAGGTAGGAGATGTGGGGATTTGATGTGGGAGGAAGATCAGAGACTCAGGAACTGGAGGGCGGCTGGCGGAGCCCATCTGTAGGGACTGGGAGGAAGAGTCTGTTTTAAGCTGGGTGAGGCAGCAGGAAGCGGGGCGGTCGTTGAGGGAGCATGATTGAGCCTGGCGGGAATGGCGACAGTGCTGAGAGAACGCTCTCCAGGCCGGGGAGCGACTGTGCCCAGGAAGCAGGGGAAAGATGGGAAAGGCTCTGTGGCAAAGGCCAAACTTCAGACAGAAGGTACTGGGAAGCAGACAGACAGGCTGTCAGGGAGGAGGGGGCTGGGCTCAGCTGACCTGGGGTCCAGGCTGCGTGGGTTTGTGGAGGGGCTGGGGCCTGGAGGGTTCTTAGAGGAGCCCTGAAGAGGTGGGATGGCCATTGAGGCAGAGTGCTGTAGAGTGGCTTCTGGCCAGGGGGAGGTGCTCACGAGGCAGTAAACGGTCAGGGTACTGCACAGCCCTATGGGTGACCATGGAAATCCAAACGGGAAGCTCAGTTAAGCGTCAATCCTTCGCTACAGCAACGCCTGCTAGCCCAGTCCTGGGCTGGCACACCCCGATCCCGCCCCACACCGGTCCTCTGACTCTGCTCCTGGGCTCCCCACACACATGGCTGTGGTAATGCACCTCAGCCCTCCTGACCCACAGCCCACTGCCTGCTCCGCTCTTGTGACAATTGGGGTGGGAATCTCTCTGTTCACCATGTCTGGATTCTGGTGGATGCCATGAACTTCTTGTTATGGAATTGTTGGAGTGGGGAATGCCTCTGGGTGGATGTGGAACCCACCAGCAGCTGCAGCAGGTACTTACTGGGCCAGGGACAAGGCCGAGTCGTTAACCTTAAGATCTGTGCTCTGAGCAGACAATGGTCTCATGTACTAAGGGGGCTGCCAAATCTCTCTGGTGAAGTGGAGAGTGGAAAAATCACCGTTAGTAGCATCTAGAGGACCATATTGTGCTGGGTGCTGTCTGAACTTGCAGTGAGAGAGATGCCCTGCCCCAACCAATTTACAGGAGGGGAAACTGAGGCATGGAGCGAGGTGAAGTGACTTGACCGAGGCCACGCACCACCTGAGACCTGAGCCAGGGATAAAACCCAGAGCACCTGGACCCTAGACCAGTGTCTTACCTACTAGAACAGCAAGCATCTTCTGCTTCAGTTGGGAGGAGAAACTCTAACCACAGAGAGGTGTGCCTCATCAAAAGACACAAACAACTCTGTGGGGTTTTTCAGCTGCAGGCACAGCCCTTCCGTTGGGGGGCAGGAAGTGCTACCTTCACCTTGTATTCATCTCAGGACTGTGTTTACACCAAGCCCTCCCGGCCCACTTCCTGCTGTTAGAGACGATTCTTCTGTGTTGATCAGTTTGTCGCCAACAGTTAAAAATCGTGTCCTGCCAGGGCAGTGAGAACAAGACAGATCCTCTGCTGGTGCAAATCAGCTCTGTGGGGTTACGGCCATTTCCACTGGCTGACTCTAGCTCGGTGTATTAAGAGTTGGGGCCTGTTGTGTTAAGTTTGATGGAACAAGGGGGCCCAGAGCCTCCAGAGTGTTAACGTGACCCTGTCACTGTACAATAGTAAAGAGTTAAACAAGTCTGGAGGTCAGAGACCTCGGCCTGCTTAGCTCCGTGGCAGCACAATTCATGCCAAAGTTTGCAAATGTCTTGAGCAGGCTGCATAAAAGAAAAAAGAAGTGGCCCGAGACATAAAGCCCTTTTTGGAAGGGAAACAGAGCGATTGTACAGACCTAACTTAGCCAAACCCTACCAGAGTCCCCTTTTCCGAGAGAGGGTGTTGGTCAGTGTCTCTTATTTTTGTCAGACAGCCTTTCTTGGGAGGATGTTGGGGGAGGAAAGGGTTGATGTGATGGACGGTCACTCTCCCTGCTTTGGACAAACAGACGCAAGGGGGAGAAGTGGCAGGGGCATAAAAGTGGTGCATCCGATGAAGTGAGCTGTAGCTCACGAAAGTTTATGCTCAAATAAATTGGTTAGTCTCTAAGGTGCCACAAGTCCTCCTTTTCTTTTTGTGAATACAGACTAACACGGCTGTTACTCTGACACCAGCCTTTGTGGCCATTCTGAAGATCCGGGCTGGCTGCTCAGTCCCAGATGGTGCTGAGTCTCTCAGGGCAGCTCTTCTCTGGGCTCTGGCTCGGTGTCACCTGGCTGGTCTGATCCCTCTCCCTGGCTGGTCTTTCTCCAGCTGGGCAGAGCTGGATGGGCCAGCTCATCTTGCCGCTGGGCTGGTGTGGCGTAGCTGGTCTCAGAATCCGGGGACAAGCTGCGAGAGGGAGAGGCGACAGGAGGCAAAGAGCCGGGGGTGGAGAGGAACACAAAAGGGAAGTTGAGAGAGAGCAGGTTGTGTGCGTCTCAGGCTGGAGTCTCCACAGGCACGGTGCTGAAACAGCCCTATTGTGCTGAGCTCTGGGAGTCCTTGTGTTCTGGACAGTGTGTGCAGAATCCCCTTTCAGGGCTGCTGCAGGTCCCGGGACGAGCGTGGGGAAGGCTAATAAATGCGTACATGGCAGTAGGTGCATGGGGTGGGAATGGGAGGGGATCAGGGTTTGGCTGATCTGAGCCCTCTGGCTATAAATGAGACCCAGTGTACTCTCTTTTCTTTCTGGTTTCAGAGTGGTAGCTGCATTCGTCTGTATCAGCAAAAACAACGAGGAGTCCTTGGGGCATCTTAGATGCTTTCGTGGGCTAGAACCCACTTCATCAGATGCATGGAGTGAAAAATACAGTAAGCAGGTATCCCTTTTACAACAATGAGCAGAAACAAACTTCAAAATAAGGCAGGAGACTTTACGAAATGCAGGAGCTTGTTTATTGTCACTCTAGCACTGCAGGGACATAGAAGGAATGGGGCAGTGAGGGGGAGGAAAAACAGAATGGGGGAGGAAATGGTGTTCCGTCCCACCAGAATTTTCAAGGTCTGGGGGGGGAAAGGCCCGTCTCAAATTGGGGTGAGCAGTGGGACTCTTGCGGATTTTTTCAAACTGATAATCTGCAATAAAAAAAATCAGATCTGGTCAATGGAAGCAGTTTGGTTAATTTCAAAACATTTCATTTTTTGTTTCAACCCTTTAAAAAAAAAAGGTGCCTTGCCTTGCCTTGCCTTGCCTTGCTTTGCTTTGCCTTGCCGTTAATTCAAATTTCAAAATGAAAAGTGGCCTCAACCCCAAACCCAAAACGAGCCATCTAGAAAATGTCAAAATAGCCAGTTTCCGCAATCCAGAAAAAAAGACAACCCCTAATATTTTCTGTCGGGAGCGTCCTCAAAGCCAGCCCTGAGCCACAGACCCCTTGGGTTTTGATGAGTCAGCATTTCCCGACAAAAAGCCTTTGAATTGGGTGTCTGAACCCCATCAAAATCCCTGTGCTTTGAAATGCTCCCCGGCACGGTGGGATTCGTGTGTGTTCTGAACCAGGAGGGGGCTGCTTGACTGAGGAAAGCTTTGTTCCAATCTGTTTGGGCCAAAGCTGAGTTCCTTGCCATGTTTTCGCTCCCTCCTCACCCAGGCTAACCTGGGAGGTTTGCCCGCATGCAAACTTGGCGAGGGGCTCAGGATTAAGCCCTGTGTGTTCTTCCTGCGGGGAGAGGCAGGAGAAAAGTTCTGATCCACTAATGATGGTATTTAAATGTAGAGGAAAAGGCAGCCCAAAAGGAGGAGTTGGTGGGCATGGTTATCCCTATAGTTCCCTGTAACACCCCGGGGAGAGAAAATCCAGTGACTGCAGCATAAGGAAATGCAGATGCTGGAGAAGCTATAGCATCTTCCTCTCTGGTCACTGCCCCATGGTCTTTCGAATCCAGGGCAGGTAGTGGGCGATGTGAGTGTACACCGAGGGAGGGAACTGGAAACCATAGGAGACAATCCCCTGGGCCGCCCCGTTGCAGACCAAAGGGCCACTGGAGTCCCCCTGAGAAAGACACGGGGAAATAGGGTTAAGTAGAACATAGGCACTGAGAAAGCGCATTGTGGGCTAGCGGGCACGAACGCAGGATATAGAGCCACTGATGGCTACTTCCAATCCTGGCTCCACCACCGTGTGACCCCAGGGGACTGGCTCAATGGCTCTGGTCTTGTGTCTACTAGGGAATATCTTTCAGGGGCGTGCGCAAGCGCGGGGAAGCTCTGCTGGGGCAGGGAAGAGTCAGCTCCTCTGGCTGCAGGGGGCAAGAAATAAAACGAGGACAATGTTTCTGAGTGCCCCTTTGGTGCCTCTGTGGCTCATGAGTGAAGTGGGCCATTAAGGTGGCTGGGGATGTCCCTTCCCACCCGCTGACCTCAGGGCAGCATGGCTGGGGAGGACGGGAAGGGATGGAGAGACGTACGTAGTTGACGTCAGTGCGCCTATGGTAGCTGGCCGCACAGACCATGCCGTCGCTGAGCTCTGGGTAGGATAGGAGACATTTCCTCTGGCTCAGGACAGTGGCATTGGTCTCGAAGAGCTTGTCCATCGCTACCTCTTTGTCAATGTAGCCCCATGCCGACACGATGCACTTGGTGTCCGCGGGGATGTCGCTGCTGCTCTTGGGCAGGGGGATCACCTGGACGTATTTATTCAGTTTGGCTTTGTGGCTCAGCTGTTATGGGAGGGGAGCCAACATGTTAGACCCTGCAGGAGATGAACAGGAAGGTTTCGGGGTTTCGTTTTTCCAGGTGCTTGCTCATCAGGAATCTGCCTGGGAGCAGGATGTAGAAATGGGGGTTATACCAGGTTGGAGGTTGAGCCCCAAAGCTAGACACGTCCTGACCGTCACCTTCTGATGTTGGAACACCCACATCCTTGGGTTGTGTGATGCCAGCCCAGGGACGGAGACTGGGCAGCGTCACTTTCCTTGGCCAGCTACTTCCCTAGATGGCCCGTGCTCATCCACTGGGAACGGGCTGTCCTGGGATTGCGTCATGATGTCACGCCTGTGCGGCCACAACAGGTCCATCGGCGTTTGAGTCTGCGGAGCCCAAACCCGTGAACGTGCCACCTGGTCACCTCTGTGCCAATCCACAGAGGGCGTGAATAATGTTGCCCTCACTTAGCCTGACCAGATGTCCCGATTTTATAGGGACAGGCCCGATTTTGGGGGCTTTTTCTTATATAGGCTCCTATTACCACCCCACCCCCTGTCCCGGTTTTTCACACTTGGTGTCTGCTCACCCTTCCCTCGCTACAGAACTGCAGCTCTAGTTACAGCAGCCCGTGAGGTTTGCTCTGGTTCAGTCCTTGCTGTGGTAGTCGAGAGGGCGGCTGTCACACAAGGACAAAGCCCAGAGAGGTGGATCTAAATACCAGAGGCCCTCTGCAGCAGATATAACCTACAAACCCTAAGAGTATGTCCACACTGCAATAAAACACCTATGGCACTTGGGGCCTGGGGCAGCTGGCTCAGGTGCAGGGCTAAAAATTGCAGTGTAGAGCAGGGGTGGGCAAACCCCCGAGGGCCACATCTGGGTATGGAAATTGTATGGCGGGCCATGAACGCTCACAAAATTGGGGGTTGGGGTGTGCGAGGGGGTGAGGGCTCTGGCTGGGGGTGTGAGCTCCGGGGTTGGGCTAGAAATGAGTTCAGGGTGCAGGAGGGGGCTGGGGCAGGGGGTTGGAGGTGTATGGGGGAGCTCCAGCTTGGGGTGCAGGCTCTGGGATGGGGTTGGGGGTACAGGAGGGTCTCTGGGCTGGGACCCAAGGGGTGGGAAGGGGATCAGGGCTGGGGGTTGGGGAGCGGGAGGCGGTCAGGGGTGTAGACTCTGGGCAATGCTTACCTGAAGCAGCTCCCGGAAGAGGCGTCATGTCCCCCCTCTGGCTCCTACGCAGAGGTGCGGCCAGGTTGCCCTGCGTGCTGCTCCATCTGTGTCCCCCCGCCCTCGGAGTTGACTCAGAGTCGCCTGCCCGGGGTGGGGCGGGGGTTTGCCATGCACCTCCTCCCCATCTCCGGCACAGCAGCCGCCTCAGCCTGCCCCCAGCGCCGCTCCCTTGTAACCAGCAGCGGCAGTGGCAGGCGAGGAAGCGCAATGGGGAGCTCCAGGGTGGCCGCCCGCTGCCCAGGGGGCAGGCAGGGACGCTCCGGGGTTGGGGGAGAGACTCAGCCCCAAACATTGGTGGAGCCGGGCCCCCTCCCGGGCCCTGAATTTGCTGGAGCGCAGGTACCACGGGCTCATACAACTCACCGCCCCTGCAGCCCATGGCTTCCTCCACTCACCAGCACGGGCTGAGGGGTAGGACAGCAGGGAGAGCAGGAGCAGGAGACATTGGGGCTGCTCCTTCTCTGAATTCACGGCTTCTTGGGTCCTCTTCCAGGCTGGGAGCCTCCTGCTGCCCCGGGGCTGGTTTTATAGCTTCAGACCAACGGAAGTCGGAAGCCAGGAAACTATCTGAGCTGGGCTGCCCCTGCTGCATCTCCCATCTCCTCCTGCCTAACCGCTGAGCAGCACGCGCTGCCATCTCATGCAAACTCCCCATTTCCCGTTCCCCTCCTCCCGGCAGGTGCGTGCCTTGCTATGTTGAGACCTACGCAGTGATTTCTTGACCCCTACTGATATCTCAAGATATAAATGACTAACGCACATCCACCCAATGCTGCTTGGGTGATTAGGGGGATCAGAACCAGGGACCTCCTGCATGCAAAGCAGGGGCCACAACCACTTGAGCTAAAGGGTAAGTTGCCTTTGTTGTCAGCAGTATCAGACTCCTCTATGGAGCAGTCACTAGAGGTGGCTGAAGACCCATCCTGGAAGAGGAAGGGTTACATACCCAGGTCTTTTTGTGGAGCGGGCAATACAAAGGCCTTTCCAAAGCTTGGTGCCAGTGGGATTTTTCTATGAAACATGCCCTGACTGGAACGAGGATGGACAGGTCTCAAGGGAGAATGCAGTCAAAGATGCAGATTGCTGGTAAAACTCGACCAGAGGTTCGTGTGACTTATGTCTGCACGCACACGTTGCTGCTTGAGAGCCTGAACAAGTCTGAGACTTGCCCCTGGCTCTTGTGAGCAGATGCCCAGTTATCGAGGCATCAAAAGCAGATTGTGAGATTGGCTTGAGAGGAAAGGACAAGAACTGAAACAGGTGATAAGGAGGAGCCCTGAGATAACACTCAGGCTGTGTTTGCAGAGACAGGGACTTGGAGCATCACCGAGTGATGAGGACGAAAACTTGGCTCCCACCCAGGCCGAGCTCTGGAGATGCTAACAGCTGCTTGTGACCGTCGCCCATCACTGCATGTGTCGATTCCATATGGCTCACAGTTGGGCTGGTGGATTTATTGCTTCTCGGAAGAGCAGAGTTTCTCCATCACGTGAAGCCAAACATGAGCTGTGCTGGTCACCTGAAGCGGCATGGATCACCGTCACCTTCAGCCCCCAACTAAAACCCCTCCAACGCATTATTAAGGATCTACAACCTATCCTGAAGGATGACCCAACACTCTCACAAATCTTGGGAGACAGGCCAGTCCTTGCCTACAGACAGCCCCGCAACCTGAAGCAAATACTCACCAACAACCACATACCACACAACAGAACCACTAACCCAGGAACTTATCCTTGCAACAAAGCCCGTTGCTAACTGTGCCCACATATCTATTCAGGGGACACCATCACAGGGCCTAATAACATCAGCCACACTATCAGAGGCTCGTTCACCTGCACATCCACCAATGTGATATATGCCATCATGTGCCAGCAATGCCCCTCTGCCATGTACATTGGCCAAACTGGACAATCTCTACGTAAAAGAATAAATGGACACAAATCAGATGTCAAGAATTATAACATTCATAAACCAGTCGGAGAACACTTCAATCTCTCTGGTCACGCAATCACAGATATGAAGGTCGCTATCTTACAACAAAAAAACTTCAAATCCAGACTCCAGCGAGAAACTGCTGAATTGGAATTCATTTGCAAATTGGATACTATTAATTTAGGCTTAAATAGAGACTGGGAGTGGCTAAGTCATTATGCAAGGTAGCCTATTTCCCCTTGTTTTTTTCTACCCCCCCCCCCCCCCCCGACGTTCTGGTTAAACTTGGATTTAAACTTGGAGAGTGGTCAGTTTGGATGAGCTATTGCCAGCAGGAGAGTGAGTTTGTGTGTGTGGTTTTTGGAGGGGGGTGAGAGAACCTGGATTTGTGCAGGAAATGGCCCACCTTGATTATCACGCACATTGTAGGGAGAGTGGTCACTTTGGATAAGCTATTACCAGCAGGAGAGTGAGTTTGTGTGTGTGGTTTTTGGAGGGGGGTGAGAGAACCTGGATTTGTGCAGGAAATGGCCCACCTTGATTATCATACACATTGTGAAGAGAGTGGTCACTTTGGATGGGCTATTACCAGCAGGAGAGTGAGTTTGTGTGTGTGGGGGGGGGCGGAGGGTGAGAAAACCTGGATTTGTGCTGGAAACGGCCCAACTTGATGATCACTTTAGATAAGCTATTACCAGCAGGACAGTGGGGTGGGAGGAGGTATTGTTTCATGGTCTCTGTGTATATAATGTCTTCTGCAGTTTCCACGGTATGCATCCGATGAAGTGAGCTGTAGCTCACGAAAGCTCATGCTCAAATAAATTGGTTAGTCTCTAAGGTGCCACAAGTACTCCTTTTCTTTTTGCGAATACAGACTAACACGGCTGTTACTCTGAAACCTGTGGATCTCTGTGTGAATCCAGGTGGGAGCTCAAACTGGGATTCTCAAAGGAGACTGACTAGAGGCCCAACTCCTGTTGAATTTCAGTGGGGCCTGGATCCCGAATTCCCCTTGAAAACCCCAGCCACGTTCAGTAAATGACCTGGCTTACTGGGAGGCAGATTGTGCTGCTGGGGACGCACGGGGAAATCTGGTTTTCGGGGGGTGACTGACAGCAGAATCTGGCCCTGAGGATGGAGACATTTTGAAGTAAAAATCAAGTCACGGTGGATCAGACACAATTATTAGCAGACATAAAACAGCACCAGGAAAAAGAGAGGCCAGGCTGCGGCTGTTTTTTCAAAAGGAGACCCCAAAGGCCTTTCGATTGTCCCATAGCCAAGGGACTACGGTTATCATTTTAATTTGTATTACAATAATGCCTTAAGGCCCTGGCCCTATTGTGTGTGGTGCTGTACATACACGTAGCAAGAGGCTGTCCCTGACCCAGAGAGCTTACCGTCAAAGCAGACAAAGCGTGGGAGGGGAAACTGAGGCACAGAGCGGGGGGAAATGACATGCCCAAGGTCACCCAGCAGGTCAGAGTTGGGAATAGAATGCTGGTCTCCTGACTCGTAGCCCATTGTCCTAATTACTAGGCCACACGGCTCCCCAGGGGCAGGCCCGAAGACAGCAATTCCGGGCCCCAGGCCAGAATGGTCAATGGGCCCCCACGCATGCACAAGCCGCGCCTGCGCAGATGCGGTCCACCTGCCATTCGGGCGGTGAGGCACCTGTGCTGATGGTGCCCTGCACCTTCTCCAAGGCCCTGGCCCCTGCTCCCTCCATCCCCCACGCCCCCCCGTTGCTTGCTCTCCCCCAACCTCACTCACTTTCACCTGGCTGGGGCAGGGGGTAGGGGTGCGGGGTGCAGGCTCTGGGAGGGAGTTTGGGTGCGGGGGGGGTGAGGGGTCAGGCTCTGGGAGGGAGTTTGGGTGCGGGAGGAGGCGAGGGGTCAGGCTCTGGGAGGGAGTTTGGGTGCGGGAGGAGGCGAGGGGTCAGGCTCTGGGAGGGAGTTTGGGTGCGGGAGGGGGTGAGGGGTCGGGCTCTGGGAGGGAGTTTGGGTGCGGGAGGGGGTGAGGGGTCAGGCTCTGGGAGGGAGTTTGGGTGCGGGAGGGGGTGCGGGGTCGGGCTCTGGGAGGGAGTTTGGGTGCGGGAGGGGGTGCGGGGTGCAGCCTCTGGGAGGGAGTTTGGGTGCGGGAGGGGGTGCGGGGTCGGGCTCTGGGAGGGAGTTTGGGTGCGGGAGGGGGTGCGGGGTGCAGGCTCTGGGAGGGAGTTTGGGTGCGGGAGTGGGCGAGGGGTCAGGCTCTGGGAGGGAGTTTGGGTGTGGGAGGGGGTGAGGGGTGCAGGCTCTGGGAGGGAGTTTGGGTGCGGGGGGGTGCGGGGTCGGGCTCTGGGAGGGAGTTTGAGTGCGGGAGGGGGTGCGGGGTGCAGGCTCTGGGAGGGAGTTTGGGTGCGGGAGGGGGTGCGGGGTCAGGCTCTGGGAGGGAGTTTGGGTGCGGGAGGGGGTGAGGGGTCGGGCTCTGGGAGGGAGTTTGGGTGCAGGAGGGGGTGCGGGGTGCAGGCTCTGGGAGGGAGTTTGGGTGCGGGAAGGGGTGCGGGGTGCAGGCTCTGGGAGGGAGTTTGGGTGCGGGAGTGGGCGAGGGGTCAGGCTCTGGGAGGGAGTTTGGGTGCGGGAAGGGGTGCGGGGTGCAGGCTCTGGGAGGGAGTTTGGGTGCGGAGGGGGTGCGGGGTGCAGGCTCTGGGAGGGAGTTTGGGTGCGGGAGGGGGTGCGGGGTGCAGGCTCTGGGAGGGAGTTTGGGTGTGGGAGGGGGTGAGGGGTCGGGCTCTGGGAGGGAGTTTGGGTGCGGGGGGGGTGCGGGGTGCAGGCTCTGGGAGGGAGTTTGGGTGCGGGAGGGGGTGAGGGGTCAGGCTCTGGGAGGGAGTTTGGGTGCGGAGGGGGTGCGGGGTGCAGGCTCTGGGAGGGAGTTTGGGTGCGGGAGGGGGTGTGGGGTGCAGGCTCTGGGAGGGGTTTTGGGTGCGGGGTGCAGGCTCTGGGAGGGAGTTTGGGTACGGGAGGGGGTGCGGGGTGCAGGCTCTGGGAGGGAGTTTGGGTGCGGGAGGGGGTGCGGGGTGCAGGCTCTGGGAGGGAGTTTGGGTGCGGGAGGGGGTGTGGGGTGCAGGCTCTGGGAGGGAGTTTGGGTGCGGGGTGCAGGCTCTGGGAGGGAGTTTGGGTGCGGGGGGGTGCGGGGTGCAGGCTCTGGGAGGGAGTTTGGGTGCGGGAGGGGGTGAGGGGGTCAGGCTCTGGGAGGGAGTTTGGGTGCGGGAGGGGGTGCGGGGTGCAGGGTCTGGGAGGGAGTTTGGGTGCGGAGGGGGTGAGGGGTGCAGGCTCTGGGAGGGAGTTTGGGTGTGGGAGGGGGCGAGGGGTCGGGCTCTGGGAGGGAGTTTGGGTGCGGGAGGGGGTGCGGGGTGCAGGCTCTGGGAGGGAGTTTGGGTGCGGGAGGGGGTGCGGGGTGCAGGCTCTGGGAGGGAGTTTGGGTGCGGGAGGGGGTGTGGGGTGTGGGGTGCAGGCTCTGGGAGGGGTTTTGGGTGCGGGGTGCAGGCTCTGGGAGGGAGTTTGGGTGCGGGAGGGGGTGAGGGGTCGGGCTCTGGGAGGGAGTTTGGGTGCGGGAGGGGGTGCGGGGTGCAGGCTCTGGGAGGGAGTTTGGGTGCGGGAGGGGGTGCGGGGTGCAGGCTCTGGGAGGGAGTTTGGGTGCGGGAGGGGGTGTGGGGTGTGGGGTGCAGGCTCTGGGAGGGGTTTTGGGTGCGGGGTGCAGGCTCTGGGAGGGAGTTTGGGTGCGGGAGGGGGTGAGGGGTCGGGCTCTGGGAGGGAGTTTGGGTACGGGAGGGGGTGCGGGGTGCAGGCTCTGGGAGGGAGTTTGGGTGCGGGAAGGGGTGCGGGGTGCAGGCTCTGGGAGGGAGTTTGGGTGCGGAGGGGGTGCGGGGTGCAGGCTCTGGGAGGGAGTTTGGGTGTGGGAGGGGGTGCGGGGTGCAGGCTCTGGGAGGGAGTTTGGGTGCGGGAAGGGGTGTGGGGTGCAGGCTCTGGGAGGGGTTTTGGGTGCGGGGTGCAGGCTCTGGGAGGGAGTTTGGGTGCGGGGGGGTGCGGGGTGCAGGCTCTGGGAGGGAGTTTGGGTGCGGGAGGGGGTGCGGGGTGCAGGCTCTGGGAGGGAGTTTGGGTGCGGGAAGGGGTGCGGGGTGCAGGCTCTGGGAGGGAGTTTGGGTGCGGGAGGGGGTGCGGGGTGGAGGCTCTGGGAGGGAGTTTGGGTGCGGGGGTGCGGTCAGCTCTGGGAGGGGTTTGGGTGCGGGAGGGGGTGAGGGGTCGGGCTCTGGGAGGGAGTTTGGGTGCGGGAGGGGGTGCGGGGTGCAGGCTCTGGGAGGGAGTTTGGGTGCGGGAGGGGGTGCGGGTTGCAGGCTCTGGGAGGGAGTTTGGGTGCGGAGGGGGTGCGGGGTGCAGGCTCTGGGAGGGAGTTTGGGTGCGGGAGGGGGTGCGGGGTGCAGGCTCTGGGAGGGAGTTTGGGTGCGGGAGGGGGTGCAGGGGTCAGGCTCTGGGAGGGAGTTTGGGTGCGGGAGGGGGTGCGGGGTGCAGGCTCTGGGAGGGAGTTTGGGTGCGGGAGGGGGTGCGGGGTCAGGCTATGGAAGGGAGTTTGGGTGCAGGCTCTAGGCTGGGGCAGGGGGTTGGGGTGAATGAGGGGGTCAGGAGGTCGGCACTTACCTCGGGCAGCTCCTGAAAGCGACCGGCACACCCCTCTGGCAGCGGCTCCTAGGCAGGGGACCCAGGAGGTCTCTGTGCACCGCTGCCTGCAGGCACCACCCCCGCAGCTCCCATTGGCTGCAGTTCCCGGCCAATGGGAACTGCGGAGTCGGCGCTTGGGGCGGGGGCAGCGCATGGAGATTCCCTGTCCCCCCCAGGGGCCGCAGGGATGTGTCAGCCACTTCCGGGAGCGGCACGGAGCGAGGGCAGGCAGGAAGCCTGCTTGAGCCCCGCTGCACTGCCAGCAGTAGTGGCTGCGGGCCCCCAGGCCCCTTTAAATCGCCGGGGCCTCTGAGCAATTGCCCTCTTTGTCCCCCACATCAGTGGGCCTGCCCAGGAGCTCCATTCAGGCAGACCATCATAATTGGAACTAAGTTGTCAGCCACCTCACACGGGGACAAAGACTGTACGTTCAGAAACCCGGACTGGTGCCCACTGACATGGGGAAGCTTGCCCTGCCCCTGTGGGTAGATGGAGGGCTCCGTTCTCCTGGAGAGGCAGATGCCACAGTGAGGAGCAACTTTCTAAAGACCCAGCCAGATAGTGGAATATGTCTGCTGATGATGGACAGATAGGTAGATTTGTACGTTCACAGATCTATAGATTTTTTTTTTTCCAGATCAGAAGGGATCATCTAGTCTGACCTCCAGCACAACCCAGGCCACAGGACTTTCCTGAATTTACTAGTGTTTCAAGTGCAACAGCTGTGGGTGTGGCTGAACTAGGGCTAATCTTTTAGAAAAACATCCAACCATGATTTTAAAATGTCCAGTGATGAAGAATCCATCACAGCCCTTGGCAAGTTCTTCCAAAGGTTAATTACCCGCACTAGTAAAAACTGGCACCTTATTTCTCGTGTGAACTTTTCTACCTTCTGTTTCTAGCCGCTGGATCTTGTTAGACCTTCGCAGGCTAGACTGAAGAGTCCACTATTATGAAACTTCTGGTTCACATGTAGGTATTTATAGACGGCGCAAGTCACCCCTTAAACTTCTCTGATAACTAAATAGATTGATCTCCTGTTACGAGGTATGGGTTCCAGTTCTTTAATCATTCTCCTGGATCTTTGGTGCAGTGGTGATGCTTTCACTCACAACAGGAAACCCTCTTGAACAACAGGAAGCCTTCACTATCATGCCCATACAACTGTGAGCATTTCAAAACATCTCACGTTTACTCTCTTCCGTTGATCAACATCTGTCTTGACTTCTGGACACTATAACTGGACATGGTATTCCAGCAACGATCACACCGGTGCCAAATACTAAGGTAATAACCTCTCTACAAAGACGTGATATTCCCTTGTTTATGCACCCAAAGTTTGCATTAGCCCTTTTGGCCACTGGATCGCACTGGGTGCTCATGTTCAGCTGAGTAGCCACCGTGACTCCCACATCTTTTCAAGTCACTGCTTCCCAGGACAGAGTCCCCCATCCTGTAAGTGTGGGTGATGGTCTTTGTTCCTAAGTGTATGATCTTATATTTGGCCATATCAAAACATAAATAGTTTGCCTGCGCCCCTGCTTACAGGGCGATTCAGATTGTCTGTGTCGGTGATCTCACTTCATTATTTCCCACTCCCCCAATCTCTGCAACAGCGATAAACTGGATCAGCAAGGATTTTATGTTTTCTGCCAGGTCATTGACAAAAATATTAAATAGCAGAGGGCCAAGAACTGGTCCCTGTGGGATCCCAATAGAAATCGACCTGTTCCGCAATGGTTCCCCGTTTACGACTACTTTCTGGCATCTGTCAGGAGCCAGACTATAATCCATGTAATGTTGATGATTGAGTGACAGATCGATAACATATCTGTCGATTGTAGACAGATCCAATCCAGCACTTTTCACAAGCATCTTTACTACCGCCCTTCCCACCCCCAATTTTTAAATCTATACATTTTTACAACACCGTTTCCTTGGTGAGGTTTTATTCTCAGTTGTCTCATCAGCCGCTCCTTGCTCGGGGAGGTAGGTGGAAACGGCAGCTCCTAGTGCCAAGAGCGGGATTTCCTTGCAAGTTTCCACGCCGTGGCTGACACGTTGCACAGCACCAGCGTGGCTTGCGTGAGGCAGAAGCAACTAAGTGGGAACACAGGAGCCCCGGGTTGGCCTTGACATGAGGGGGTTTCCCTTCTCAGAGGTGCAGGGGGCCAGGTGGCACAGCTGTGAGTCAGTAACTGAGAAGAATGAGATGCAAATCAACCTGTATTGAGCAAGCAGTGAGAGAAGGACCCAGCTGAGTTTAGCCCGTTTGCCTGCAGAAAGCCCCAGCAGGAGCGAATGGGTCCCTGATGGGACAGCCCCTTCCACGCCCCCTTGTAATGCTTGGGACTCCTCTCCCGTCGGGCGTGTCATGTTGGAATGGCGCGGAGTGGGAGGGTTTCCTAGGCCTGCTTGCAGGCTCAGGGCCTTGGCAGGAAAGGTGTCAGCAGAGTCAGTCTGGGAAGAGCACAAAGCCGGGTGAGATATGCCTCTCTGCCTTACGGGAGGGCTGCGATTTCGCTGTGGCCAGCGATACCTGCCGGAGGCAGAAGGTGGACCCTGTCCTTTCAGCGCGTGGCCTGCAGCTCCGCCCCAGGCCATCTCCATTCTCCTGCCCACCTGCTGGTGCCAGCGGGATTCTGCGGCTCTCAGCACTGGGACCGCTCTGCCACTGGGTGAGTTGACTGCAAGCCGGCGAGTGCCCCAGCTGGGCATGACTGAGCAAGGTGCTTGGGCACTGCCTGATTCTCAGCCCATGACCAATCGTCTTATTTGTGGCCAGCGGCCTCCCCAAAGAATCCCTGTTACAGTCAGGGGACCTGGGTCCTGGGTCTCTTCTAGCTCATGGCAGACCCCCCCATGCCTCTTACTACTTGTGACAGGCCTGATCCCGCAGGCATTACTCTGGAAGAACTCCCCTGACATGGGGAGAGACCCCCCTGCTGGTACCGGGACACTTCTGCCTTTCAGCCCATGCCGAGAACCTCGATCTTCCCTGGGCCATGCAGACACCGGAGCAGCCCCGCCCCACGGCCCTATCCGAATCCAGCTCTAGAACGGCATGGGGTGAACTTCCTAACTGCCCTGCCCCATGCTTGGGCTCAGCTCTACCTCCTGGCTCTCTTGTCCATATAGAGACTGGCAAGAGGGTGTGGTGTGGGTGGGGGAGATGGATCGTGAGGGTGGGGTGGGAATGGGACGTCTGCAGGGAGGCAGGAGGGCGATGCAGGTGCCCAAGGGCAGGGAGAAGGGAGTGCAGAGAACCAGACAGGGCCTGTAACTTTGCACTGGACCCTGCAAAAGCCACTGCCATCTCTGCAGCATGGGGAGCTTTGTATTCTCCTCTTGTGCCCAGGATGTCTCCCGCCGTGGGTGCGTCTCCGCCAACAGCCTTCGCACCTTGGTCCGTGGCTTGCTGGCAAGAGCGGCCCTTGCTGTCCGTGGGGAAATGCTGCTGCTCTTCACCTGGAGCCTGCAGAGCAGCTAACCCCGCCCCCGGCCTGTCGCGAAGAGGGACCATGAGCATCAGGGGAGAGCAGGGAGGCCTGCCGCTGAACTCGAAGATGCCCTCGGTTGTTTTGCGCTTCCTCCACCCACCTCTCAGCTGCGCTGGGTGGGTCCATCCTGCTAAAAATGCGGTTAGTTCTCGGCGTGTTGCAACTTCCCCTTTTCTTTCTCTTCTGCTAGGTACAAGTGCCACGCACCCTGCACGAGCAGCCCTCACTGCCACCTCTGCCAGGACCTCCTGCTGAGAGCCAGCCTCTCATCCAGGCTCAGCAGCAGAGCCTCCAGCCCCTGCCTTCCAGGTGAGTCCAGCCAGAGCTTCATGGGGGCAGTGGGTGGTGAGGGGTGGGGGGCTGTTCCCGATCCAGACCTTCCTTGGTTTCAAAAGCAGGTCACGCATTAATACCAGCGTTGCAATGTGGCCAGGACTCCTGGGTTCTATTCCTGGCTCCCTGTGGGTCCTTGGGCAAGCCACAGCCCTTTCTGTTCCTCAGTTTCCCTGCCTGTGAAATGGGGGTGATGTGACTCATCTTTGTAAGGTGCTTTCAGAGCCTCCTATGGCAGAAGCAATGTCCGTGCTCAGTATTAATGCAAGGTTTTCCAGCAGACTCTGGGCTCCATCCTCGCCTTAGACCTGCAGGTACCCACGGCTAGTGCACCTTGAAAGGGTTCTGTACCTTAGGATGCCCAGACAGCAAATGTGAAAAATTGGGAGAGGGGGTGGGGGGTAATAGGAGCCTATATAAGAAAAAGACCCAAATATTGGGACTGTTCCTACAAAATCGGGACATCTGGTCACCCCACTGCACCTCTACGTGTCCGTGCACAAAGAAGCAGGTTGCGCCAAGCACCCCCAGAAATGAGCTAATGTATCTGAGACCATACGGAGACTGGAGGGCTTCTCCTTGATGGATGCAAGGAGGGTGTCTGGGCACTGGTGGCCGAGGGAGGCTGGAGATTAGGGAACAAGCTCTCCGTGCAAGGCCAGGCATTGGGAACACTTTAACAGAAACGCTGAGATCCCAAAGTAGAGGACTTTGTGTAGGTGCAGGAATGGCAGTGCCCCCTTGCCCTCTTGGCTAAGGAGCTTTCCCTCAGCCCGGAGCGACACCATCCAACCAGGTTAGCTAGAGTCACCATCAAGCCAGCTGTGGAAGCAGAAAAGCCGGGCTATTGCTACATCCATGTTCTATCCGCACGTGTTCCCGTTTACCAATGAACCAGTGGACAGTAGCTCAGCCCTCACTGCTGAGAAATGATTTCAGCTGAACTGGGCAGTGGTGATGCTTTCACTCACAACAGGAAACCCTCTTGAACAACAGGAAGCCTTCACTATCATGCCCATACAACTGTGAGCATTTCAAAACATCTCACGTTTACTCTCTTGCAGAATCCCGGGCTGCCAGACGGGGGCGCCGGCTCTGACCTCTGCTCCATCGACTGGACGCGGGGCCCGCTCCTGTCCTGTTTTCATGCCTTCTCTAGCTCTGGGCTTTGCCCTTCCTCCGGGCTTGCCGGTTCCTCAGAAGATGCCTGCTCCAGGGCTAAGCCGTTCAGTAGATCCCTCTTTTCCTCCTCTCCTAACTGTCAGTCCCGAGGCCAGGGTTAGCCTGCTGTACAGCGTGGACTCCTGTCTGCAGCTGGCAGCCAGGCAGAACATCAACCTCATCCTGCAGCACTACAATTACACGGGGAAGCTGGGCAGCCGGCGGCCCCAGGAGGACAGGATGGGCCTCCTCAAGGTGGCCTTCATCACCATTAGCTGCCTCATCGTGGTGGAGAACTTGCTGGTGCTGATGGCCATCGTGAGGGGCCTGCATGTCCGCCGGTGGGTCTACTCCTGCATTGCTAGCATCACGGTGAGCGACCTGCTGGCTGGAGTGGCCTATATCTGCAACATCTGCCTGTCGGGCAGCAGAACCTTCCAGCTGACGCCTGAGCTGTGGTTCCTCCGGGAGGGCGTCCTCTTCATCGCCCTGGCCGCCTCCACCTTCAGCCTGCTGGTGACGGCCATCGAGCGCTACAGCACCATGGTGAGACCCATTGCCGAGAACGAGGCCAGTAAGACCATACGCCTGCGTAGTCTCATCGTGTCCTGCTGGGCCTTGGCCATCCTCATTGGGATGCTGCCTTTGCTGGGCTGGAACTGCCTGTGTGACTTCCGCAGCTGCTCCACCCTGCTGCCCCTCTACTCCAAGAACTACATCCTCTTCTGCGTGGTCATGTTCAGTATGATCCTTCTGGGCATCATCGGCCTCTACGCCTCCATCTACCACCTGGTCCGGGCCAGCTCCCAGCAGGTCATCACCCGCCACAGCCGCAAGAGGTCCCTGCGGCTGCTCAAGACCGTCCTGATGATCCTGGGGGCCTTCATTCTCTGCTGGAGCCCGCTCTTCGCCTTGCTGCTCCTCGACGTCTTCTGCGAGTCCCAGACCTGCAAGCTCCTGAAGGGCATGGACTGGGCCCTGGCCCTGGCCTTGCTCAACTCAGCCATCAACCCCCTCATCTACTCCTTCCGCAGCCTGGAGGTGCGCCGGGCCGTGCTGTGCTTCGTCTGCTGCTGCTGCATCCGCCTCGGGCTCCGTGGGCCCGGGGACTGCTTGCTCATGGCCGATATCAACTCGGGATCCTCGACTGAGAGCTCCCTGCGGGCTCGCGAGAGCTTCCACCGCTCCATGGTGCTCAAACCCCAGACCCGGTCTAGGGAACCTCTCTCCAGCAACTCCAGCATGGTGAGCAACCTTACCAGTAACTGAGGGGACAGCGGCAGGCTCCAGGAGGGGGCCTGCCCCTGGGGACGTGCCCTCTTGGCCAGGACTGGGTGTCAGGAATAAGGCCCGGCAGCTGCTCCTGCTCAGGTTCCTCATGGGAACAGCTGGGCTGCATGACCGCCCCACCTGACTGGCTGAAGCAGCTGGCAGGCTTGCTCTTAAGCCCAGAAGCAGCAGCAGAAATTATGCTGGCTGCTCAAAGCATTTGCAACGGCTTCTGACCTGCCGCCCTCACTCCAGATAATCTGGTTCTGACCCTCGCCTCTGATTCCCGACTTCTGACTCTGGTTCCGATCCTGGGCTCTGACTCCAGCTGTGATCCTTGGTTCTGCCCTCTGGCCTCTGACTTCAGCTGATCTAACCACTAGACATGGCTGCCCATATCCTGGTCCCTGACACTGGGCACCTGCTTTCAGAAGGGGTGGGGGGGGCATAAATGAGACGACTGCAGAGAACTAGATGTCGGTGGATCCGGTGCCGGAAGGAGTATGACACCCCTAAGACTTGGGCTCCGCACAGCCTAAGGCTGTCAGCAAGAACCGGCTGAGCTATAGTTTCAGTGTGTCTGGACTGTGCATGTAATTATGGGCTGGACACTGCGTCTAGGTGTAGGCTGTGTCCACAGTTATGGGGTGGGCACTGCTCCGGGCTCTGGTGCACCCAGGGCTGAGGGCAGCTTGCTCGCTCACAGATTATGGCGAGCAGTGACTCTCCCTCCCTGTGATGCAGCTGATGAATTGGGGAGCGAAGCCATCCAGCGATTTCCCATCTGTCTCGCCAGGCCGATGCAGCCCTGCAGTGAGAACCCGGCCGCCTGGCAGGGCGCTTGAATGAAATGGATCAGCCGTGTAGGTGCAGCCCTCAGATTCATGGCAAGCAGCCAGTGAATCTGCGAGTGTGATGGGGTTAACCACCCCTGGCGGGGGCATAGCTGCAGCTGCTGGCCTGATTCCACGCCTGTGGGCCTGGGGCTGTGCCAGGGCATACGGTGCATGTGTCACAGTCTTGGCAGCAGTGACTTACAGGCCTGCAGCGCCTCTGTCCCACGGCGTATGGTGCATCTGCAATTAGGGGCCAGACAGTGTTCCAGGCTGGATGGGCTGCCCACCACGCTGGATGGGAGACCAGGGACAGCCCTGGCACCGATACGGGGGGTGGGTGCAGCTGTCACTTGAAAGGTCCAGCTCGGGGCGTGCCCCTTTAGCGAGGTCGGGCGCTCTTCCAGCACACCTGCCAGCCTGGCACCCGCTCAGCTATACCCAGCTATACTCAGCTAGGCAAAGGACTAGCCCTGGTCACAGCAGAGGAGCTGGCTCCGGGTGCTGAACTGCGGATGTGTGAGCTGCAACGGACGAGCAGGGCACTTACTCCCCGGGAGTTCCGTGGGCTTTGGGTTGGGCCCTTAGGGACGTGGCTCCATTTCCCCTTCCTCTCCAACCTGGAATGGAAATGACAGCGAGTGCCACGCTGCGTCTTTCCAGGAACCTTTTGCAAACAGGGTTTTGCAACAGGCAACTTACAAGACTCGGTGCAATGGCCTGGAGCAGAGTTCGCCGCACCATTGCACCAAGGGACCGTGTGTGTGTGTGTGTGTGTGTGTGTGTGAGAATCTGTGCCCCAAACGTTGCGATACATTGTGTAGGGCGAAAGAGAGAGGCATTTATGGGCCCAATCCTGAGGACTTTACTCAACCCTCTGCCTCCCCTGAAGTCAATGGGAATTTGCCTGAAAGAAGCAGTACAAGATTTGCTCAGGTAATGAAGGCCAGTCCCCAACCTACAGAGGGGAAACTGAGGCTCCAGGGCAGGGGTGGGCAAACTACGGCCCGCATGCCGGATCCGGCCCACCAGCCATTTTAAGCCAGCTCTTGAGCTCCCGCTGGGGAGCGAGATCTGGGGCTTGTTCTGCTCTGGTGCTCCAGTTGGGGAGCAAGGTCGGAGGCTGCTCCACGCAGCTCCTGGAAGCCTCAACATGGCCCCCCTCCGGCGCTTCAATGAGAGCTGCAGGGCAGCGCCTACGGATGGGGCAGCGCGCAGAGTTGCCTGGCCGCGCCTCCATGTAGGAGCCAGAGGGGGGACATGCCGCTGCTTCCGGGAGCCGCTTGAGATAAGCCCTGCCTGGAGCCAGCACCCCTGAGCCCCTCCCCATGCCCCAAACCTCTGCCCCAGCCCTGATCCCCCTCCTGCCCTCTGAACCCCTCGGTCCCAGCCTAGAGCACCCTTCTGCACCCCCAACCCCCTCATTCCCAGCCCCACGCCAGGGTCCGCACCCCCAGCTGGAGCCCTCACCCCGCCCCTGCACGCCACTCCCCCGCCCCAGCCCGGAGCCCCCTCCCACACTCTGGCTGCTTGCAGTGGGGGTCCATCATGCCAAGCGGACATGCTGAAGGACACCACAGGGGGTGTTTCCCCCCTGTTGGCAGCTGAGCATGGTGGTGTCGGTGGTGCTGATGGGGGAGAGGGTTCTGGGGTAGGAAAGCAAGTCTCTGGTGTGGTACTAGTGGGCAGAGAGCTCTGTTCTGCATTGCTCCAGCAAAGCAAGGTGGGACTGTGCCTTCTTGTAGCTACTATGAGAAGCAATGTGCGGAGGGTGGGGGGGATGCATTTCTTCGGGGGAGACCTGTCTTTCTTACTTTCCATTCCCTGTTGCAAATGAAAGAGGAACCAGCTAACCTTGTTCGACCGTAGAGGCTGAGAGCATCCCCACTGCCAAAGAAGGACAAGTTCCTGCAGCATGAAAAGCAGGGTCTCCTCCTTGCGTGTGACTTGATACACTGCTCTGAGGGCTGCTCTCAAGAGACTCCAGCTGGCCTGAGCAGCCTCTAACGAAAGAGGGGCAGGGGTTTTGTAAGTCCACTTCTTCTGCAATAAACTTTTTTACAAGAAAGTCACTCATTTGGCAACACCTCCTTCTGTTCTCCTCCCATCAATTGAGCAGCACATCCCACAGGAGAGGTTCTGACCTAGTAGGGGGAAGTGAACTCGGTGCTGGTGAAAGGTGCCACTGACTTCCCGTGTCACCATGGGCAAGTCACCAAAGGGGGGGGCATTTCCAAAGAGTTCCTGGGCAGATTTTCAAGTGCCCTCAGGAGGGACTGGGTTTTCAACCCCTCCTCCACTACCACCTCCAGGCTCCCCCTGTGATGTCCATGGGCAGTTTTTCAAAGAGTTTGGTGCTCAGCTTGCTTTTGAAAATTTGGTCACTTATTTTGGTGCCTAAAGGAGAGCTGAGCCCATCTGAAAATTGAGGCCCCTACGGGCTATCTTCAGAAATACTTCGCATCAATCTAATTCAGGCGAGTGCTGGGCCCTTTGGAAAACACACTCCTGACTCTCTCTGGGTCTCAGTTTCCCATCTGTAAAATGGGGATCAGATTCCTTCCTTTTTCCCACCCTTTGTTTGCCTTCTCTATTTCGGCTGCAAGCTGTTTTTGGCTGACACCATTCCTTCTTATGTGTCTGCACAGGCTCAAGGAGGAGTAATGGTCTCAAGTTGCAGTGGGGGAGGTTTAGGTTGGATATTAGAAAAATCTTTTTCACTCGGAGGGTGGTGAAACACTGGAATGCGTTACCTAGGGAGGTGGTGGAATCTCTTTCCTTAGAAGTTTTTAAGGTCAGGCTTGACAAAGCCCTGGCTGGGATGATTTAGTTGGGGGTTGGTCCTGCTTTGAGTAGGGGGTTGGACTAGATGACCTCCTGAGGTCCCTTCCATCTCTAATATTCCATGATTCTATGATTCTTAGGGGACCCTGATCTCCACTGGACTCTAGAGGTGCTACTGTGATGCAAAGAATAATCCCTCCTGCAATAACACATTCATGTATCTATGAAGCATCCCCGATGCAGAACGTGAAGGAGCTACCCTACCCTACCTTTCCCTAATGTCTTTCATCTGAGGCATCAGTTAAGCCTCACAAGCCCCCTGCGCTGCAGGGAAGTATTAAACCCCATTCTACAGAGAAACCGAGGCAGAGAGAGAGGCGTGAAATTTAAGGTCACACAGAGAATCAGTGGCAGAACCCAGGACTCCTGACAGCCTCTCACTAAGCATTAGACGAGATGGCCTCTCATGGGACAAATCCTCCAGTGCCCTGGGCTATAGAAGGACGAGGGATTATCCTATTGCTAATTGAGCTGGGAAAGGCCTTGGGTCTGGTCCTGAGCTAACACAATGTTCCCAGCCAAACCACCTAAAACTCACCTGGTTCTGGCTTCTGTTGCAAACTTGGAGCTCTGGAAAGAGTCACCAAAGCCCAGGGATCATTCGGGGAAATCTGGGGTGGTTTTACGGCTTCCCGTGCAAACCACATGATGGCTTCGTGAGTTTCGCTTTGAAAAACCAGCACCTGAAACGTCGAAGGGTGAGACGCCAACCTGGCAGCACTGCTGTTCCCACCCCACCTCCCTTGAGGTGCTGCTCAGATCTGGCCTTTGGCTGAGGAGTCAAACACACCATGTGGATTGTAAGGGCAGGAGAGGAACCACCGTACATCATATTCCTCAGCATGTTGGAGAGCCTAAATTTTCAACTTTGAGGCTCAGTGGCCTTTGGTGCCCCCTTGTGGGTTTGGTATGGAATCATCGAACTGTCGGGCTGGACGGGACCGTGAGAAGTCATCACCCCCAGTCCCCTGTGCTGAGGCAGGACCAAGTAAACCTAGACCGTCCCTGACAGGTGTTTGTCCAACCTGCTCTTAAAAACCTCCCATGACGGGGATTCCTCAACCGCCCTGCTCCAGAGCTTAACTACCCTAAAATAGAGCTAGAAAGCTTTTCCTAAGATCTAACCTAAATCTCCCTTGCTGCAGAATCAGATTAAGCCCATTACTTCTTGTCCTACCTTCAGACATGGAGAATAATTGATCACCAGCCTTCTAACAATCTTTAACATCTGAAGACTGTTAGCAGCTGCCCTCTCATTCTTCTTTTCTCAAGACTAAACGTGCCCACTTTTAACCTTTCCTTATAGGTAGGGTGACCAGATAGCAACTGTGAAAAAACGGGACAGGGGGTGGGGTGTATATAAGAAAAAGTCCCAAACAATGGGACTGTCCCTTTAAAAACGGGACGGATGGTCACCCTACTTATAGGTCCGGTTTTCTAAACGTTTGATCACTTTTGTAGCTCTCCTCTGGACACTCTCCAATTTGTCCACATCTTTCTTAAAGTGCGGTGTCCAGAACAGGATAACTCCCCCTCGTGTCTTATATGCAGCCCTTTTCATAACCACATCACATTGTTGACTCATCTGCTTTTTGCGATCCACCGTAACCCCCAGATCCTTTTCAGCAGCAGGACCACGTGGACAGTTATTTCCCATTTCGTAGGTGTGCATTTGATTTTTTTTCCCCTTTTTTTCTCCATTGCGGGTTAGGTTGGCAGAGCTGTTTCTCTCAGGGCTGTGCATTTTTCACACCTCTGAGCGACGTAGTTAAGCCAATGTAATTTTCTAATGGAGACCAGGCCTCATATAGTCCCTCTGGAAGCTCCCTAAACTCTCTTCTGGTTCTAAAGCTCTGTGGAGTGGCAGTTCTGGGGCCCGGGCACCTGCAAGGCTGGTGGCCCCCCAGCTGCATAGCCACACTCAGTCTGCTCTTTCAGAGGACAAAGGACTGGGAGGGTCACTGAGCCCAGTCCCAGTTATTGCAGGCAACCCCTTCCTATAATCCCGTTCAAAAACGTATCAAGCTCCACTTTTAAACTACGCAGGTTGTTTGCCCCCACTAGCCTACTGGAAGGCTATGCCCAAAGCCTCCCTCCTCTGATGGGTGGAAATCTTCTTCGCACACACACCTGGGCAGGAATAGAGCTCAGATTCTCTTTTTCCAACTGACATTCCCCCTCCCCAGCTTGCAGTAAAGGAGAGAATCTCCATTTAGCCCTTAGCAGTCTAGGGCACGTGGCATGCAGTTGGGCAGTTCTGATCCCACCCAGTAGTGGGCTGGTGCTGGGGGGGTCTGTGTCCCAGAAGCTAGAGGGGAAGGTCTGGTTACTGTTGGTTGTCTGATGCTCTGAGTTCTTTTCTGTGCCATGGTAAGTGGTGTCATTCTGAATCACTGGCAAAGCCAGCAGGTGAAAACTGAGTGAGCACCAAGACTAGCCATGTTTGTATGACAGGGTGTCTCAGGAACAGCTCTGGATCTGGATCAGGGCCGAGAGAACGGAACTCTCAGCTTCACTTCAAAAGGATCTGTAAGTGGGAGCCCTGCAATGCAAACAGAGGGGGCCTCAATAATAATACAGACTCTCTCTGTCTGTCTGATGCACCTCTGCCCTCTACAGGGTAGAATCAGAACTGCCTACCTGTGTTTCATAGGCTCTACACTGCTACAGCTGAGGGAGATTTTCTATTTGCTCAGGTGGAGGGCTGTCTTTTGCAGAAGGGGGCTTTGGAGTTCCATCTGTGGTGTCACTGGTATGTTCTCAGAGGTTGGGGCACACAGCGTAGTCACAGCCATGGACTCAAGGCATGGCAATGAACTTGTACCACATTACACAGCGATGAAACCATTCATTGCTCATCCATCTTATTAACCGGAAAAATAACAAAACAGCAACCACTCTGTGAAGACTGAGTGTGGGTCTGTTTCGATGCCCTGGGTGGCTCTCACCCATTTCCTAGTGGACAGGCACAAAGACCCTCACCACTGTTGGCCTCTTTGGTGGTATTATAGGCAGAGTAGCCAACGTGTGATAATAACAGTTACCTCTTTTTGCCATAGACTCCAAAGCACTTTACAAAGGCCAATCCCATTATTCCCATTTCACAGATGGGGAAAGTAAGGCACTGAGAGGGAAAGCAACTTGTCCAAGCTTAGGGTGGAAGCAGAGTCAGGAATAGAATCCAGATCTCCTCAATCCCAACCTGCTGCCCTATCCACTAGGTCACACTACCAATGGGTCATTGAAACTGAGCTCCCCACTTACATGAGAGTTGGGAGGGTCCCTCCAGATCAGGACTGGAGCAGGCAGGCAGTGTGTGTGGGAAGTCTTCCCTGGATTTGGCACCCTTTCTCAGTCATACTTTCTATTAGGGTTCCATATATAAAGGACTATGAAATGACCAATAGCTGTTACAAGCATGTGCAGGTCATATGTATTCTAGATAATAAGCCCATCAGCAGAAGGTGTTAAAGATGCTTCTAAACTGTGCTTGTAAGTAACCTATTGGACTCTATAACAATCTATAACAGTTGATTAACCATTTATGAAAGCTGCTATTAATCCTCCATTAACTATTTATAAAGTGTGACTTATTCCTCCAGCTGCAAATGCACACGAGAAAGTGACCAATAAATAAATAAAGCTGTTTCCTTTCTTCCCGTCTCAGTGCACAGAGGTCACCTCTGCCGCTTGGATGGACCAAGCTCCACAACACGAGATACCCACAGCAGGCAGAATTACAGCAGCCGGATTGTTGGGCTGAGCTGACCCCGAGGGCTTTATCATACCCATTGTATGGCTGGTGCATGAGAAGTGGTCTCCTGTTGCTTTATATACCTTGGACCCCTTACAAACCCAGATTATCTTGTCACCTATTGCTGTTTTAGATTCCCCCTCTTTAAAATGGGGACCTCTCACAGGGATGTTGGGAGACTCAATTCATTAAAGGGGTCAAGTCTTGAGTTTTTGACTCAGACAAACTACAGTTGACTTTCACCTAGGCTAAGAATTAGTAACTGGTGATCTGTTTTGTTTTTCTAATCAGATTACATTAGCAGCTGGGATCCCCAGAAAGAAACTACAGCAAAATCTGATTTGAGTGACTACTCAACGGACTGACAAAAATCAGCTGTTTAAATAAAATTGGCCAGTTAAATCTCTCTCTGTCGCAGGGTTTTGTATTTAATACCCATCGCGATCTGATCATTACTTTAAAGGG